GCCTGCAGGACCGAGGGTCCCTGGGAGCTCCCTCCATGCAGGGAGCCGTTCGGGTGTCGGGGACACAGCCGAGCTGCGGTGCAGCCCTGCTCCCCTGCCTAAGGAAGAGGTGTGGGGGGACAGGCAGTCGCTGAGTCGGGGAGGGAGGACATGGGAGGGGCCCCTCTGCCCACATGTCTTCCCACCCAGGTTCTCACTGGGCCGCCTCCCGTCCCACCCAAGGACAACACGTCGGGGACACCGTGAATGTCTCCCGTGTTCCTGCGGGTGCTGACGGGAGGAGTTCAGAAGATGGCACGGGGCACACGTGTGTCGTGCCTCACAGACTCCTGTCCTGGGCGACGTCACCTCCAAACACAGAAGCGGGGGAGGGGCCGGGGACACCCCGCCCGGGGCCCTGGGCTCGGTGAGGAAGCATCGCTTCGTTTCGATTGGGTGCCTCGTGTCGCCTGCGCTCTCACCGGCCGTCACGGGTGTGCCGTTGCGCACACGGACCACTGCCTGCTCTGCTCCTGCGCACGCGTGCGAGCGTTCCCCACGGTCTTTGTTCTCTGATAAAAAGGAAATTGATCTTTATCTGGATACAATCCTGCCTTTTACACTCGGCACATGCTGCTGGGGGGTGGGGGGGGCGTTTCCAGGGCGTCTTCCACTTTCTTCCTTCTTCTGGCGCTTCCCAGAAGGCCTCTGCCCACAGCCTGGTCTCCCCGCTCCTCTCGCGTCTCCAGGGACTATGAGTCATACGTTTCAGAAGAAGTTTGTGAAGCGGGAAAAACAGAAGTTTGGGAAAACCGTGTTTCTCAAGCGTTTTTGATGTTAAATCGTCAACAGCAGCATCCACCCGCTTCCGTCCAGGTCCGGAGGCCTCCGCACGTTTCCAGGGCGTCTTCCACTTTCTTCCTTCTTCTGGGCGCTTCCCAGAAGGCCTCTGCCCACGCCCGGTCTCCTCGCTCCTCTCGCGTCTCCAGGACTATGAGTCATACGTTTCAGAAGAATTTTGTGAAGCGGGAAAAACAGAAGTTTGGGGAAACCGTGTTTCTCAAGCGTTTTTGACGTTAAAACGTCCACAGCAGCATCCACCCGCTTCCGTCCAGGTCTGGAGGCTTCCGGGGCCTGGCTCCTCTTCCCCGGAATGTTCTGGGAGCATCTCTTACCCGCGGACAGCGGAGGGGGTCGGGCCCACGGATCGGCAGGCTCCTGGCGGAGGCCCTGACCGTTTCTCTCCTGCCCCACAGCCCCTGGGGGCCTGGCCACGGAGGGAGGCACAGCCACAGGAGGGCCCGGCCCAGGGGTACGTGGCCAGTCTCCCCTCCTGGGACAGCCGTGGCGGGGCCCTGGGGGCCAGTCCCCATGTCCTGGCAGGACGGGGGCCCCCACCCCACCGCACAGCCTCGGGGACCCAGCTCCTCGAGGAGGAAGGCGCTCCTCGGACGATGTGGGGAGGCCAGGGGTCTGAGCGGGGAGCCGTCACCGAGAAGGGATGTAGGCGCCACACCCCGAGGGTGCAGAGACCCGCAGGCGGGGTCAGGCCCTCGCTGTGCTCCCGGGCAGGTCTGCGGTCCGAAACCGGAGTCCCGCACC